CGTAGGTTCATGTTTTTTTTGTTTTTTTTGCATGGTTCATTTGGTCCTTTATCACCTTCTCACACGCACCTCTTTGCATGCAAAAGGTCTTAACGTAACCATGGCAAGGTACAATTACACATTCCAGGATGGATTAGCCTCATTTGTTTCAAATGGTGACCTCCCAATACAAATCACATTCATTTGAGCTGTGTGACAACCCAACACAACCAGGCCTGCAGGAAGACCCGCATTTATTAAAATAAAATATAGCCTTGGTTGTCTTTGTCCAGGTACAAAGCCATTGAAACGCCGTTATCGCCTTAATAAGAAGTGCTAATATGGATCTAATTATAGGTTTAATTCCAGAGGTTATGCATCGATGTAACTCTTGGATATACAGTATCTACATATTTAAAAGGTGATAAGGTCATAAAAAATTGTATGCCATTGCTTACACTTCACGTCAAGAGTCAGTGCAAAAGAGTACAGTACTAACTACGACGATAGACTCGAGTGTGTTTTGCTTTGCATTGTGCCTAACACGGCCCAGTTGGACTTGTTTCGTGACTTATTCAACAAGTCATTCTGCATATTCACAAGTCAGGAATGGATGGACTAAGACAGCTCTTAACCATTTCAGGGACAGCGGTTACTAGATTGGACAGCTATTCAAATGTTGTATTCTCTGATATTAATTAATCTTAATGTCACAGTTGTGCATCAACCACTACGATGGGCCCTTATGCGTGTTGCCATCCACTGTCATTATTTTTTTTTCATGCCTAACCACTACCGTAATAAAAGCACTTGAGAAATGTAGGTTATCGTTATTTGTTCGTGAAAGGGTTAAAATGAAGCTGATCAGGTTCATTTGACCTGTCTCACACACACACACACACACACACACACACACACACACACACACACACACACACACACACACACACACACACACACACACACACACACACAACTGTACGCAAATACTGACTTGAGAAGACTTTTTGATAAGTTTGTCAAATGGAACAATATGTTGTTCATTTGCAAACTTTTATTTCTGCACCACAGGACCGCCCAAAAACAATTTGAAGCAAAGAAGGTGGAGCACATTCCTCAAACCACAGACTGAGAAGGGAAACAAGATCAAACTTTGGAATTGGGAAGAACATTCCAAGTTTGAATAAAGGGGGACTAGTGTGACCGGCTGAAACTAGGTATAAAAATAAGTAGTCATGGCCTGGTTAAAACAAATAACCAAACAAATACATACCGTAAATACATTTTTAAGTTAAGCCTCCAAAGGTAAAATCATTCCATCCATCATTTTCTGCTTCTTATCTTGTTTCAAACTTCTGACTTCTCAATTTTAACAAAATTACGAAATATTGTCAAGAAAAGTAAAGGCAAGGATATCTTGTAAAATGACAATCACAACATGATGAAGGACGTCTCAAGTGTCTGAGTTCTCACTTGTCAACGCATGGCAAAATCTATGGCTTTAATATCTGTTGTGTTTTCTATTGATTGAACCGTCCTCTTGTCTGGGGAGAAAATCATAGGTTTGACTGAGCCACCCTCTAGTCACTCATTGCTATGCCGCCTCATTGTGAAGCCACTTATTTTTCCAACTCCATTTCTCCCTGCAACATTGCCAAAGTTTAAAACGGCATTCATCTATCAGTAGAGGTGAAACTTTTCATCGGGAGCCTGGCGAAAGGTGATATAACGTCGGGCTAGCTTGGTTTCCCTTCAGTGAGCGTGTTCTTCTGAGAGCGAGTGATAAATGATTTGCCACCAGCCAGAGTTTTCCTGGGAGAAGACGATAGAGAATGTGTTCAACTGACGTGGGTCCATTAATGACTTCTCCCGCTGTAGCGCTTGCAAAAAATATATGAATCTACTCAGAAGCAACAGTTAGTCACCTCGGTTCTATCAAGGGTTCGCACGACTAGCCAAACCGTGTATATAAGAGTGACACACGGTATGACCATACAGACTACAGTATACTCGGAAGTCTCAGACAACGTGTACTGTAGGCCATCTTTTGGTGTGATTACTGTGATCTAAAGGTCATAAGATCTTTCAACAGTGAGGATGGCAGCCAGTTGTTGACTTGATATAGATGATCTCTCTCTCTCTCTCTCTCTCTCTCTCTCTCTCTCTCTCTCTCTCTCTCTCTCTCTCTCTCTCTCTCTCTCCTGCCTTTCACCTCTCTCTCTCTCTCTCTCTCTCTCTCTCTCTCTCTCTCTCTCTCTCTCTCTCTCTCTCTCTCTCTCTCTCTCTCTCTCTCTCTCTCTCTCTCTCTCTCTCTCTCTCTCTCTCTCTCTCTCTCTCTCTCTCTCTCTCTCTCTCTCTCTCTCTCTCTCTCTCTCTCTCCTGCCTTTCACAAACAACCAAACAATAATTCCTCTTCTCATTTTGTTCCGTTTGTTTGCTTGTTTGTTTGTTTGTTTTCTCAAGCCACCCCACGTATGGGATCACTGCTCTTGATTTTAACCAAACTGCTAGTTTACACCATTTGAAGACTATAAATTCTATGCAGCTGTGCATTTCTTAATAACTGTAGGACACTGGTCAGGACAGCTGCTTGCCACAAAAAAAAACTCTATCTGTACTTGGAAAAGCTGTTATTGCGAATCGGCACGGAAAATGCCGGATTGTGTTTGCAGAACAAACTAATCAACCCCGCAAATGCTAACTTTGCTTTTTGTGAAACGTGGATGCTGTTTTCAGTTCACATCTTGTCCTCTGGGAGCATCTAGTGGTTGGTATGGCATGCGCATGGAGCACACGGGTATCAAATTAGTTTCTCACGATTGTGATAACAAATTTCTTGAAAATTCCTCAATTTTCTCAAAACCACAAACACATATGCAAAGTTTTGTTTTTAAAAAACGACATTTGCTTAACCCCAAACTTTTCCAAAACCTCAAAATCAGATAGCCTGTCCTATGTTCCAAACCGAACAATGTGTTCAGATCCTTCACACAGCAAATAAAAATATACTCACCATTGAACATTTGTAAGATATTACATAAAATAATTTTGGGCATGCAATTAATGGACATGTAGATAATAGAAATATCGAAATGCATTTGGGGAAAAAAGTCAAAATGTTTGAGTGACGTCTGCCCAAAGCACTTTACCACGTCACAGGCAACATTTAGATCTGCTGGATATCCTGTCAAAAAGCTGAGTGTCTCTTTTTGGGAGAACATAACAGTCCTCCCATTCTCATGTCAATTCGCAGTTAGTCTGATCACATCATTAGAATCTTGTGTGTTCAATTTTGAGTGTTGTGTTTTAAAACATGACAGCTGTTTTGGAGTTAGATTTACAATTTACTGCCGGCGTTTACAATTGTGCAACACAAGTGCATCTAGGGCGAAATGCTTCGAGTGACTGAGAATATGTTTTGCAAAATACTGCAGATGAGTTTTATGACAAGAGTCCAAGCTCATGACCAGTATTTAAGGTTTGGCCTTTTTTGGGGGCGGGAATTTAAAATAAAATACTGTAACTCCAAAGGAGAATAGGGCAAAATATACATGTTGAATAAATATAATACTTTTTTCCCCCACAATGGTTACTTATTTGATGGACTTTTTATATTGTGGTGACCTTTTGTTTTGGGTTATCTTGGTTTGTCAGCAATCAAAATTATTCAGGAATAGTAATTATAAAATTTTTAAAAATGCAAATATACTGGTTGCTCTAGTACGGGTAGATGAACACTTTAGTTGCACTTTTTCTAATTGAGGGACAAAATGTTACAATTTAAGGGCAGTCTGGAGCCCCTGTGAATGTATTGATTACATAAATCCACCCACTATACTGTATTTGACCAATCGACGATCATTTTGGCTGATCTGATTACTTGAGCAACTTGCTCCAAAGTAAATCCTCTTTTTGAAAATAAACACCATTGCCGACGGAATTGTTTGACATTTGTGTGTGTGTGTATGTGTGTGCATGTGTGTGCGTGGGTGTGTTGATGTGGACTCTTACTGTGAACAAAGTAGAGTTTTATTGAACAACCTATGACTCATCACTCTGACGCAGCCCACATCATCACCAGGTGACATTTCAGTACTTGGACCCAGAGCAGATCTAAACTAAAGAACAATAGGAACACCTGTTACTCACTAACAGAAAAGCAGAAATATCAGCAGTAGGAAAAAAAAAAAACAGGAACACTCAAAAAGTGAATGGAAACCACTGATGAAGCAGCTGGAAAGAAACTATCAGCTCAAATACACATGTCTAAAATGTCAGTTTTGAAACTTGATCACATGTACTGTACTACTTGATTCCACGTGTACAATCACTGGTAAACTCATGGGACAGAAATCACATTTTGTATTTTACAAATTCTATACGAACATTCGAATCCATAACGCAAAGAAAACGACACCTGCATTCATCAAGTCGACCTGCATACGCTGCACTTGGCAAAAAACACATCGCGATATTAAGCTATGACCTGATGAAGAACAACATGAAATCACTTGGACCAACACTGATTAGAGAAATAAAAACGACATGACCATCAACTACTATGATGACTCCAAAAAATTTTTTGATTCATTTATTTCATTGGGACAGTGCACATTAACCAACACAAGAATAAACAGTGTAAATGCGCCAGACTTAGCATAAATGCTAATTTTTAGCCGTAGTCACAAGGTAGCTTTTTAAAATAGCATAGTGAGAAACAAAAAACTTTAGATTGCCTAGCACTGAGTAAAACCTGCAATTCTGAAGCCTAATCTTGATTTATAGCCGTAGTCGCAAGGTAGCTTTTTAAAATAGCATAGTGAGACACATAAAACTTTAGATTGCCTAGCACTGGGTAAAACCTGCAATTCTGAAGCCTAATCTTGATTTAGAAACACATCCCGGCAAAAACTTTGTCAGTGCTGCATCAAAGCCTGAGACAAGCTTTGGAGTGATTTATTCCTTTCATTTAATACAATACGTGTTGGTTTTAACAAGCTAAGTGACTGATGGCTCATCTTTGGAATACAAGCACAGGATAGTATAATTTAAGTGACTTTAGCAAGGCTGAATGATTCGCATCGGTTTAAGTCCTTTCCGCAGCTTGATATTAGTCAAATTTACAAATGCCTTATTCATGTTACAAGTTTTAAGCACGTATCAGTTGCACTTTTTTGGGTGACCTTTCACTTAATGTGGCGCTGTGGAATTCCTCAAGGCTTGAAATATTCCTGCTTAGAAATGAGATCATGAAAGGTTCTTAAGCAGAGCCAACAAAACGGGTCAACCAAGAATAATGATGCGGTCTTCTGGAAGTTACTATTAGCACAGTGAGGGTTATAGATAAAAGAAGTGGGCAAAGGTTCCCGAGAACTTTTCAGAAACAAGAACAAATGTCAGTCTGAAAGTGAACGTGAATGCAATCCATCGAGGAGTGTGTACGCTGTGGTGGAAGTGACAAAAGGTGGCTTATTACCGTGGTTGACAACAGCAGTTCCTCAGGAGTTTTCAGGGAAATTTGTAAATGAAAGGTCACCCTCTTGTATAAAAGAGTGAGCGGACAATTGCCTTTATTGCCAGTGGCATCGAAGACAAGGTAAGATGCCTCTCATGACAAAATTGAATAAATGCGGCAGATCTTAGCGATCTTTGTTCGTATACCTGTAGACAGTAAAATTGTTTGCCTGTAAGAATTTATCAGTGCCTGTGCTATTTTTATTCCTATTGACAATGACCGGTTGGACTAGAGTTATTGTGTTGTATTGTAGTTATTTATTCATAGAAGCTTTGATATTAAATATATTGGAGGGTACGCTATGAAAAAGAAAAAAAAACATCCCAGCCTGTCCATATGATATACTTTTTACCTAAATTCTCCTTGCAGATGAATTTCATTGACTACATCCTTATGTGTGCATTTCTTCATGTGGGCTATCAAAACCCTCTGAGCTCCTGGACTCTCCAACCTAACGGTAGGTTTGATCACCATGAAAACGCTTGGAGCAGAAAGTTCGAGCGATCATCTCCTTGACTATTTTGGGGTGTGCGTTTGTTTTCACTTTAGTTTTGGTTGTGAAAGTCAACGGATCGCCGAGTCAACAAGCCCTCAAGTGCCTGCACTCGGCAGAGGGATTAACGAATGGCGATGACAAGGATATATTATGGAAGAAGAACGGCAGAGAAGAGAAACAGAGGGGTAATTCATACCTGGTGCAGCTAGAGGAGAGTTTAGGAGGAGGCCGCTACAGCTGCTACAGCACAAACGGATCTCTTCTCAATCACACTGTCGTCCTTATTCAAGAGGACACCACCAGAAGGAAGATTCTGATGAAAACTGACCAGGGTAAGTCACTTTTTTTTAACCACCACGATAATCTAAGATCTCCAAACAGGATTTCAACTCACATGAAATATTTGTGTCTCTTCATGTGTAGAGGAGTATTTAAAGTGCTCAACCCAAAATTTCGAGGGAGCATTCCGATGCTCTTGGACTTGGCACAGGACCCGCTTTGGAAAAGTAGCGCTGATCAGAGCAGGACGGTAAGCGCACACACTGCAACCATGTTTCCTCTGTCACTTGTCCAATAATAACACACACTTCGGGCTCGCTGCAGCAGCTGAGAGGAAGAGCCAGACAACAGCCAGATTGACTGACCAATGAATGTAGTTCGCAATGATTGTTGACACGTTTGTCCAGAAAATTAAAAAAAAAAAAAAAAAGACGAATCTTCTTCTGTTCTGCTCGTTCAGAGGCAGAGATGTTGAGTGTTCTGTGGACGCCAGTGGTCAACGATGGACGTGCTCCTCTGGTCAAGGTCAAATCAGCTGCTCGGTGGACGGCACCGGAGATGGGATCTCCTGTGTGGACAAGCGCCACTGCGCATTTGCAGAGGAGAAACACCGTATCTTCTTGACGGTCTACGTTAAGACGGAGCATTTCCTGGTGGAGAGCTACTCCAAACACTTCTACTTGTCTGAAATTGGTAAGTTTGCATTTTGCTTACAAGACCTCTTGCCCTAGATGGGAAGGTAAAATGCTGTCCTTGACACATTTTTCAACTGATTTCGAAGCATATTCAGCAGAAGGATTTTGTAATCAAGTGCAGCATTTTATGTTGATCCTACTTTTACAGACCCGAGATTTTTTTATGTGGTGTCGGTCAGGTTAAATCACTTTGCAAGGCGTGTTTATGTTCAGTTGTAGTGTATATTTGACATCAGAATATCCTAATTGCTTAGTTGAATACGTATTTAAATGTGAGTCGGATCAAGAGCAACATATGCCGTCTTCTAAACTCTCACAGTGATTTTTTTAGCACCATTTCTAAAACTATTCATATCGATCGCAAAAACCACTCACAAAGTTTGAAAAACTAAAAGCACAAGCACTGGTTAACCCTTTCAGGGACAGCGGTTACGACAGTGGGCAGCTTATCATGTTATCGGGTTACAGGGTGCATGAAAGGGTTAATAGTGAATTTCAAATTCGGTAGCACACACTCTGATGGCCCAGCAACTCTTTTTTTGCAGAACCGTAAACACAACTCACTGCTTTCCACTCAATTTTCAAATGATCAACACAATCCTTGGGGGGAAAAAAAACGACATATTTATGGCTCTTATCGACACAACTCTGCCAACAATTTGGTCACATTGTCATGAGAAAAAACAATTTTAGGACTTGAGTTCACTTTGAAATCAGCCTGAGCACTAGAAATAAGCCACAGGTAAGCTGTCGGCGGGAGTGTGGTAGCCATCGGGAATTTCGGTGTGCCACCATTGAACTCCACCCCCTCGACCCCCACCGCCACCATAAATTTTGGTCCCAGTAAATTCCTGGCTGTTGATGTGGCGTACAATGGACGGAGCAGGAACAATGAGAAGAGTCAGAAATAGAGGAGGCCGAAAAAGAAGAGGTGGAGGTTTATCTCTCAGTGAAATTGCTCGGATGGGTGTGACGGAGAGGTTTTGACACGAAAAAAGACTGTTTTGTGCTTTTTTGGATGTTTACAGTGCATACAGTAAACACATAAAAAAAAAAAAATTGAATCCCTGTGTGTGACCTTAAATGGGCATAGCCTACCTTGCGCAGAGAGAAAAGCAAAAGCCAAACGTGATGACTTGTGTTATTGTTTGATGCAAAAATAGAATTTATACAAAGGTTTGACGAGTTAAGCAGGACTGATTTGCTTGAGCAAGATAACTATGATGTTATTTCAATTTGGTGGGAGGTTTTCTTGTTGGTGCGAAGAGTTTTCCAAAAACACGGCCAACAGTGACCTAAAATGTGCTGAAGTCATCAGAAAAAAAAATAAATAAATCACAGCCGGTGTGTTTATGTTTTGTCACTTGAGCAACAGTAATAGCAACATGTTTCGCTGTTGATGCGGCGGGTTTGCGGTTCATTCATGCGAGCCTTCATCCTTTTCTCGCTCCTTGTGCTTTTCCTTGTACAGTGAAGCCTGACAAAGTGAAGATCAGGAGAGTCAACACATCGATGATAGAAGTGACTTACCCGAGTTCCTGGAGCAGTCCTTCCTCTTACTTCCCCCTCACTTTCCAGGTTTCACAGAGCACACGCGGGTGTAAAAACTGTGACAACCCCTGCGAAAACCCAACCGCTGCGGAGGTAAGGTCCACATCGTCACTGTCATGAATAAAATGGTCAAAGCAGCCACAAAATATTTGAGTGGATACCACACAAGGTATGTCAGTTGAAAATGTGACTGTTTATCTCGGTCAGACTGTGATGGTGAACTCCTCAAGCCATTGTCGATTTGAGGTCAAGTCCGAGTTTAAGACTGTCTGTGTCCGAGCTAAGGATGCCCTCTACAACTCGCAATGGAGTGACTGGAGCCACCTCAGGTTAGTATCATTGCAGCAATGGTGACCAGTTAGCATTTTACTCATTCATTGTTTAAGGGAATTTGATTTTTTTTTGGGGGGGGGGGGGTATTGATAAACATTGTTATCCTACACTCTCTCTGTTTTCATAAGAATAATTATTATCATTGATAAAATGTGTTGATTATTCCTCTCCCAGCACAGACTGAGAAAGAAGCGAAAAAACAAACAGAAGAATCATACCAGCTGACAACATATGCAGGTGATGAGAAGGAGCATCTGGGCATCTGTAGGACCAGTATTTATTATATCCTATATTGTTTTTTGTTTTTTGTTTGGGCGGGGGGGGGAATAAAATGCTTGCTTGTATGTGTAATGGAAAGTAGTTTTCCGCATGAATGCTGAAGCAGTTCTGCACCTTAGTGATAAAAGTAGTTCATATCTGTATCGGAAATCAACTTGCATCATTGAAATGACCTCAAATGCCATTGATCCATTCCAGCCTCCCAAAAACAGCAACAACAACAAAAAATGTAATTTGTTTTTAATGAGAAAAACAGCACTGTGACGTTGTACTTCTATTGACCCAGCATGAGACTTGTTTTTGTGTTTTACCCGTATATTGTATAATGCTTTTATGTTATTAATTTATTGCTTTGTATGGAGTGATGGTCGTTTTTAAATGATCTACAAATAAAGTTGAGTTGAGAATAGCCTGAATGAACATTTTTTTTTTTTAAGCACAGTCATTCGGACAATTTTCTGTTGTATCTTGCAAGCGCAAACTTCAGATACGAGCAACTGTATGGTGGCAGTGAACTCAATTCAGCTCACTTCATAAGAAGCAGCACTTTGATATCATGAACAATCCATCAAAAAAGAAGTTCCCGCTCTTTAACGTTACTCCCAGTTGAAGATTACTGTCAAACTAAATGTAAAACAAAGAGAATCAAACAATGCAAAGGGATATTGACGTGCTCATGGTTAGGATCGGTAGTCTGTTGGGTTTTTTTTTCTCCTTCCTTTTACATACCAGATATCTGGCGCTAAAACCGTGACCTGCCAGGCTTCCCATTCTATCTTCCTCTGTTGGTCATTGTTTTGTTTATGTTCCTCTCGACCGGTTGTAACTGGGAAAGAAAATTCCTTGTGTTTTACATACCTGGCCAATAAATCAGATTCTGATTCTGATTGTTTGCATTAAGATACAGAGATTTATTTCAGGCAAAGCTTTATGGTTGTTTTGAATATTCACGGTGTAAATTGTTGGGTTTTGCTTTTGGTTTTTTTTTTTTTCAGTAAACTTCAGATGGCAAAGACCAGCAACTTGAAGCCTCTTTTTGGAAGGGTTGATCACGATCTGTTAAATCGCTGGGTGCTGTGAAGAGAGTTGAAGTCACTGCCACCTTTGAGTGCTTTTATCTATCAAGTCAAAGCAAAAAATTAACATGACTCAAGGACAGTGAAGAATTTTTAAGTAGGGTCTCTCATACATGAAGGGCCCACTGTATAAAAGAATGATTTCACAGGACTCTCGATCATTCTTAATATTCCCCATCCTGTGACCAGTTTCAGTACACTATTGAGTTTGTTGATGAGGAGGTTACAACACTCGTTCATGTGCAGTATATGGACATCAGGTTGTCATTCTCTTCCTCATTTTCAAACCACATTGACCAGATTGCCATTTGATGAAAATTCCTTTGACAAATTGCATACTCTCCGGAAAGGGATGTGGACGGACTGTGTGGTGTTTTATGCACTGAGTTGCAAAACAAACATGTACAGTAGTTTAGCCTTCCTCTCAGGATTAACCCCTCAGGCCACCAGTTAAATATTAATCATCTATCTATCTATCTATCTATCGATCTATCGATCGATCGATCGATCGATCGATCTATCTATCTATCTATCTATCTATCTATCTATCTATCTATCTATCTATCTATCTATCTATCTATCTATCTATCCATCTATCTATCTATCTATCAATCAAACGTTCAATAGCTATCTAGCTAGCTATCTAGCTGTTGAACGTTTGGGCTGTCTGTCTGTCTGTCTGGTGATTGGGGTGTGAGTCTCAAAGATACTGGTTTTATACCCTTGTCTCCAAGATTTGCTTGGATGGAAACATATCTGTGCTTTTTTGCCAGAGTGAAAAAGTACACTGATGTATGTTTACATTTTATATTTTACTGCAATGTTGTGGAGGAGCCAAACTCACTGGAGTTGAGAATTAGCATTAGCGATAAACTCTATATGCATCACATCAGCTGGAGTCTTGTAACTATGTTTGACAGTATTGCCGCTGTCAAATAAAGATTTATTATTATTATTATTATTATTATTATTATTATTATTGTTATTATTATTATTATTATTATTATCCATCCATCCATGTTCTAATCCGCTTATCCTCATGAGGGAGGAAAATGCAAACTCCACACAGGAAGGCCGGAATCGGAATCAAAACCTTCACCTCTGCACTGTGATAAGAACGTGCTAATCAGTCAACCATAGAGCCGGCCTATTAGTAGTAGTGGTAGTAGTGGTAGTAGTACTGTATTACACACAGACTAAAATAAGCCATTGAGACGAACGGAACTGAAGAAACAATGGTCACACAATTGGTTGTGTAGAATTCATGGACATAATTCAATCATTACATTTAATGTCATATCTGAATGACTTAAAGGAAAGTGACACAGGGGCACCACGCCATAACCCCACACAAAGGGTCGCGGGCGTGCTGGAGCCTATCCCAGCTGTGGAAGGCAGGAGCCACAATCGAACCCTGCACCTCTGCGACGGACATGCTAACCAGTCTCATATATATATATATATATATATA